AATGTAATGTGCAATGTATTTTTCAGTGATTGAATCCGGCTACAGATGAATTGTTTGAAGATCCTGCAGTCATTTTGAGGACTTCGAATCTGGACAGCTCAACCGCTTCAAGGAGTCTAGGCGGGGAAGGTTGAAGGGGTCACTCGAGTATCCTAAATTGCGTGTGTGTGTCCACACTAGGGGTTCTTACGGTAGTTCCCACACAGGGTGTCCACACAAGGGGTTCCTATGGTAGTAGTTAAGGATGGGTGTTTGATTGAGGTGCTCGCATCCGTGTCCGGCTAGTTCGCTGCTATTTACAGTGCATTCATTCACCTCAGAATAATCGAAGTGCATTTCGACTGCGCAGGCTTGCCGAATCTGGTGGGCTGGCGCAGGTGCTTTGCGGGACTGCGCTCTCGTTGTGGTGCCGTGCGCGTTTTCGGACTTGGTGATCACTTTCTTGGAAGGCGCAAGAGCAAACTCGTGTTTTGGTGGTCTAAAGCCGCCTTTTCATGACAGGCGCAGGAGATCGGAGCAGCTGTATGTCGATGTACAGATTTCGTGGGAGGCGCAGTTCTTTGGACATGGTGGTGCCGTCGTGGCAGGCGCCGTGATTCGTGACTTTTCACAACCATCACCACCATCACCATCACCACCATCACCACCTCCACCGCCACCGCCGCCACCACCACCATCACCACCACCTTCACACTTCACCACCATCACCACCACTACCACCACCATCACCACCACCTCTGTTTGGAACCCAGCCCGTCTAGGTCCCTAGACCTTTTGCCTCTACACTACACCTCTAGTCTTAGACCTTAGACAGGTAAACACACTGTGTGGTGTCTTTTGCCGGGGTAACTTTTTGATCTTCCTTTGTACTGCCCAAGTCAAATCTTTGGGGTGCACTACGCTTTTTGAAGTGCCGAAATGGAAACAAAGTTGTTTTCAGGGCATATAGGAACAGGCCACCCAGGAGATAAATCCTGACTTGGCCTCTAAGTTGGAGAGGGGGGGTCGGGGGCTTGGGCTTAACTATATTGAATAAAGTTGTTTCTGGGGGGGCGTGTCAGGGGACAGGAAAAATGTAATTGTTAAAAATTGTTTCAGCACGAATCAGCACACTACTGATAACAACAAATCAACATACACGGCATGTATGTTCTTGAGGGTAGAGGAGTCACCCTGGAACAAACATATGTCAGTGAACATGGTCCGCCCCAAAGGACAAAATGTCTGTCACATCAGTTGCTCACCAATTGTGATGTGAGTCGGGTCTTTGGATCTAAATCTGGGTGTGGGGCGGTTGCATCTGGAATGGTGTGGGTTTTTGCACAGTTGCACCATCCTTGCAGATGGTGAATGTCATTGGACTTGGTCAGCCCTAATGGACAAACATAGTTTCACCTTGGATTTTCAGGTTTTGTGGTGTGAGTCCAGTCTTTTGGGATGAGTCTGGGTGTGGACTGGAATGGTGTGGCATTTTTGTCCTCAACTGCCAGCTTTGAATATGGGTGAGGATGGTAATGGAACCTAATATGGTCCAGACTCATCCCCAAAGACTGGACTCACACCACAAAGTCAGAAAATCTAACTAAGGTGAAACTATTTTGATCCATTTTCTAGGGCTGACCAAGTCCAATGACATGAACTTTGTGCAAGGATGACCTATGGACAAAAATCCACACTGCTACGGGTAGGCTTCTGATGAATGCCTGTAGTGGCCCCAAAAAGGATAACATTCTTTAAAAAAATAAGGAGACCTTTTTTTAGTAGGTTTTCGTGCCACAGTTGCTTCATGCAGCATTTCCGCATCAGTTCACTGTCTCTTCTTTTCACTGCATGTGGAAGTTGTTTTTGAGGTTGGGGGGTTAGGGGACAGGAGAAAAATGTCACTTTTAAACAGTTGTTTCTCCATGTTCCTGGAGGTAGGGGGTTGGCATTTAAGTTACAGGTCATTGCACTCTGTCCTGTATCTTCTTGGCTTACCGTGTGGTGATGTTCAGGGGCCGGCTAGCAACATTGGATAGAAATTCCCACTCAGAAACAATTTCCAGTGTGAGAGCCCCCCCCTTGCAGTCCACAGGGGAATATGTTTTTCGGGCTTTGATGTCACGATGCCTGTGACTACTTGCAAGACGCTTTTCGTGTTTTTCAGGACCCAGATCAGTGGAGAGCTCAGACACTGTGCGTGAGCTGCTGGCACCGCCTGGAAATGCCCAGACCGGCAAAATACCTCACGAACGATCCACAATTGGTCATGGCTTCAGCCCGGCACCGCAAACTGCAACTGAATCCGTCAATGCAATGAACAGCTGCCAGTTGGATTGTATAGCCTGTACTGTTGGTGTAGTACTCATTATGGTGACAACACCAGCGGCAGCCGCAGCGGCACCAGCAGCCGTATTGACATTGAGACAGAAGTGGAATGTTGGCGGCATCACGGTTTGCCAGCCATTCCTCTCGTAAACCTAACAATTTCTGAAAATGACCAATGAAATGGCTGCAACTGAAAATTGTGCGGAACACGTTGCAGAACGTTGCCGTGAGAAGCGTGTCCGGCTGTTGGTTTTGAACCGACATCGCCCGGATTCTTGGTGGGCAACCTAACAAGCAATTTTATGGCGTTGGCATGGCCAGTCAGTGGCAGTTAGAGATCCACCAAGAGTACACAGGCACGGACTAAGACTTACTATAGTCCTTATGGGACATCAATCATGTTGAGCACAAACAGCTACGAACGCATGCAGCTGCAGTAACCGTGAACTTACTGCGTTGGAAAATGAAACTGTGTAAGGCATTCAGCATGAGTCATGTGAAAGGAACACAGCATCCTGCTTGGAATGGACAACAAGAGGAAACACCTAGTGGAAAGGAGCATGTTCGGCAGTGAGGTCAGATGAGGGCAGTAAACGTTGTGTCATGCTGTGCCCAGGTTCACTCAGGGGAGAAGGGCAGGCCACGTGTGTCGTGTGTCAAGCGATTGGCAAAGGCTGCGATTATCATTGTCTACATGTTGCTCTTTCTAGTGTAGTCCGGATCCATTGCCCGCGGGGCCACCTAAATTGTGTTAATTGTAGTGTATCGAGGCACCTTGTCAAACGTGGTAAGAAATGGTTGCGTTGGGACATGTTGGGACACATATTCGCCAGCAAGAATCAGTCAGTGTCAGTGTTTTCCAGGTGGATGGCGCCAAACGAACTGCTGGCACCTGAGCTTTCGTGTTTCAGCATCCTTCCAACAGCGATGAGTTATGTGAGTGTCATGGTGCTGGAGAATTGAAGGAACTCAAAGAGCAAATCATTTCGCGAAGGCGCCGTATTCTCAATGGACCTCGCGGAAGCTCATGAAGGCGCATGGTTGGCAAAGCCTGAAGGCATTCCAAATGTAGTCTTCTAGGCCAACCCGTTCAGGTCTTTTGTGCTGTCAAAGCTAGAAGTTAGCACTCCATTTGCAGGCAAATTGTTTGTTCACATGTTTACTGCCTGTGCCCTGGTGCAGGGCACACCTACTCTTGCTCCCATGACACCTGCAAAGTCTGAGGACTGCAGTATAAGCCTGATGTCAGGCTGCCGTGCCAGTTCAGTGTAAAAATAAGGTGCTGTTTTGCAAGCGAAAGTGTGCTTCCTGATGCTTCCTGTGCCACCTGTGCCTCTCACGAGGGAAGAACGAAGTGATCGAGTTATCGAAATCTCTTGCAGCAAGGTCTTGCTTTGGGTCACCTTTGTTGTTGCCGTAGTTCCGGCTTCTCTCCGGTCTTTGTGCAGGACGACTTCAACGACATTTGACTCCAGCCAGACAAAAGCTTTCCTCAGAATCTTCACTGCTGCGTTGTACAATTATATATATATATGTTTATGTAAAGTGTTAGCCGCAGGAGCTGTTCAATTTGTCGAAATCTCTGTGCATTCTGGCTTTGAAGAAGGAAGCTCCACTGTCATGCCGCTGCCAGTGCATGGAAACAGCTAACTGCAGCAACTTGTGCTCAAATTGCCTGTCAGTTTGCCGGCCTAAGGCCGGGTCAAGGTGATTTGATGTAGTCATCATCATTGGAAACCATTTGTGTGCTGGCTGCCTCGCGTTCGTCCCAATGAGTCCAATAAGCAGTGGACTCCTAAACTCCTCCATAGTGTGTATAGCTGCTGTATGCTCAGCATAAGTCCCTGCTTCAATCCCCTTCCCAGGCCCGCCAAAGGCGCGCTCTGGTCCGGCATCTCATGCTGGCGCCTTCCACGCAGGGAGAAGTGCTGCTTGTGTTGCTAAGCAATTGGACAAACAAAAACATGAGTCAGGAGAGTAGTATGAGTCAAAGCGCAGACATTGAGATGAGCGTTGATTAGCAATAGTGCTCTTCTTGGTCTCATTTTTGGACCATCCGCTGTTCCTATTCAACCTATTTGAGCAGCGTTTTCCTGTCAGCAGCCAAGGGAGCCTCAACCTGGGGCAATGTATCTCCGCCACACTTTGCAGCCCTCTTCAACGGGTGCGGGCGGAGACCCACAGATTCTGAAGCCCACTGGTTTTTCCACAAGGCCCTGCAGAGACTACAGAAAGGTTTGAAACGTATAGATCTCCCTGAGCCTTTGATTCTTCCTGCTCCTGTGTAGTAGAATGATGTAGAATAGGGTGAAACTAGCAAAGGCATTTATTTGCAATAGTCAAACCAAGATAGTAGACAAGGTGAATGCCTGGAAGCCAGAGACTACCATGAAATCTATGCAAATCTCACTAACTGCAGTATCATGGTCTTGCGAGAACATATTGCGTGGCACATCCTACCTACTCCACAGTATTTGAAGATATTATATGGTGAGCACTTTTGGGTTGAAATTGATTGAGGACAGTACACTCGCTGTCAGCAGCCAATTCAGCAGTCTCAAGGCCTTGCTGAGCTTCACATACGTTGGATACTAGGAGTTGATCCTGTCAATGCAGCATCCTGACAAATGGAGCTGGTCAGTAGGCCGACTGAGCTATATATAGTTCAACTTACACCCTAACTGAAGCACGGAGCTAGTTCAATATTTTAGTATTAGTGCCATGGCAAGATTTTTGGACGACTGGTTGAGGGTGCTCACAGTGCTCACTCTGAAAGAATCGTGGAGATGTGGGAATCAATGGTGCTGGGGCTGCACTTTAGAGGGCTGAAGCGTTGTGGCATTGTGCCATGTTCGAGCTTGCAAAAGCACAATACGGACCAACTCGATGCTAAATAACCGTAATGTGGACATTGAATGGAATCAGAAAATAGAAACAAGATGGAGCCCGCGAACCCGAATGCACACACGCACTCAAAAAGCAAACGGCCAAACACTCTTGTGAAACAGCTTGTGGAAAAAACCTTGTGGGACACTCTCATGAAACTCTCGTGCAAAACTCTTGTGCAAAGTTGAACTCTTGTGGGACACCCACTCTTGCTGGACACGCATTGCTTAGTGTGTTGATCAATTTGCGATGACTGATATGTTTTCTCATAGGGCACGGTCTGAAAATATGAATTTGTGAGGTTAGACAAGAAGGGAGACAAGTGAAGCAACAAGGGAGACAAGCAGGGAGACAAGTGGAGACAAGTGTAACAAGAAGGGAGACAAGGTGCAAAAACATCCGGCCAAGTGTATCCAGAGTAGGCAGAGGAAAACTCACGCGGCCCAGAGGATGCAGAGCGGTCTTGTGGGACGCTCTTGTAGGAGACGCTCTTGTAGAACACTGTTGTGGAAAACTCAGTGGGACACGCTCGTGCCAAGCTCTTGTGGAAAACTCTTGCGCGAATCTCTCGTGCAAACCTTTTATTTTTGGCACACTGGGACAATCATGTGGGACGCAATCTTGCACGACACCGACACTCTTGTGGGACGCTCGTGTAGGACACTCTTGACGGGCCCCTGTAGGCATTCTTGAAAGAGGCACTCTTCTAGAACACTGTTGTGCCGCAAGCTCGCGCGACACACTCTTGCGGGACGCTCTTGTGGAACACTCTTGGGGGGGACTGCGATACACTGATACGCTATTGTGCGAAGCTCCTGTGGGCGACGCTCTTGTGGGAAACTCTTGCGGGCCACTCTCGTGCAAAACGTCTGTGGGACACTCTTGTAGGAGACGCTTTTGTGGAAAACCCTTGTGGGGCACTCTCGCGCGACACTTTGGTGAGACACTCACTCTTGTGGGACGCTCTTGTAGGACACTCTTGTAGGAGACGCTTGTGGGAAACTCTTGTGCGGCACTCTTGTAAGACACCCGCTCTTGTGGGACACTCGCGTGGGACGCACTCCTAGGACACTCTTGCGGGATGGGATGGCCCTGCTGTTGGACACACTATGTCTTCTATAGGAGACTCTTGTGGAACACTCTTGTGGGACACCATTGCGGGACACTCTTGTGGAAGGCTCTTGTGGGACACTCTTGTAGGAGAGGCTCTTGTAGCACACTCTTGTGGAAGGCTCTCGCGTGACATTCTTGCAGGAGACACTCTTGTGAGCAACCCTTGTGGGAGACTCTTTTGGGAAACTCGTGCGAATCTCTTGCAGGACACACACTCCGGTGTAACATTCTTGCGGGACACTCTTGTAGGCACCCACACTCTTGTGAAACACTCTTGTGGGACACTCTTCGATACACTCTTGTGGGACGCTCGTCGAAAAAGACACTCTTGTGGGTCACTCTTGTAGGAAACTCTGTAGGACACTCTTGTGGAAAACTCAAAAGGGACACTCTTGTCAAAAACCTTCAACAACTCTTGCGGGACTCTTGTTGGAAACTCTCGCGCGAAGCTCTCGTGCACAAGTTCTGTCTCGTGGGACAATCACGTGGGACGCCGACACTCTTGTGCGACTCTCGTGTGGCAGACTCTTGCTGGACACTCTAGTAGACACTCTAAAAAGAGGCACTCTTGTAGAACACTCTTGCGCAAAACTCTTGTGACACTCTTGCGAGACGCGCTCGTGGGCTCGTGGGGCCACTCTTGCTGGACACTGTTGTAGGAGACGCTTTTGTGAAAACTCTTGTGGAAAACTTGCCCGGCACTCTTGTAGGAGACCGAGTTGTGGAAAACTCTTGCAGGACACTCGCTCTTGCGGAACATTATTTTGGGACCCTTTTGTAGGCACTCACACTCTTGTTAAAAGCTCTTGTGGGACTCTCACTCTTGTGGGGCAATCTTCGGTACACGTTTGCCAAGCTTTGGTGGGACGCTCACTCTGGTGGAACAATCATGTGAGACGCAATCTTGCGGGACACCGACACTCTTGTGGGACGCTCGTGAAAGATGCCCTCTTGTCGAACGCTGCTGCGCGGCACGCTCCTGCGACTCTGGTGGCACACTCTTGGGGGACGCTCTCGTGCGTCACTCTTGTTGGCCACTCTGTAGGACACGCTTGCGGCAAACTCTTGTGGGACAGTGGGGTGCTTTTGTGGGACACCCTTGCGGGACACCCTCGTAGGACACCGTGCCAAACTCTTGTTGGACACTCTCTCTTGCGGAATATTTAGTTGTGTGGGGGTCGCTCTTGTAGAACACTCTCGAGGGGTAGACTCACTCTCGCGCGCTATTTTTGTGGTGGACTCATGTGGACTCACTCTCATGGGAAACTCGTGCGGGGCCCTCTTGTAGGACAATTTTGCGGGGCACTCTTTGGACACTCTTCTAGGAGACACTCTTGTAGGACACTGCACGACACTCTTGTAGGAGACACTCTCAGTCTTGTGGGACACTAACGGCTTTAGCGGGACACTCTTGTGAGGTTCTCCAAAAGTCAAACGTCGAGCCTGGAAGACTCCAAAAGTCACACGGCAGAGTCTCCAAAACGAGCGTTTCGTACGAGACGTCCTTCAAATGTGGTGGCAAATCATGGGAAATCTCATCAGAGCGAACACATCAAGCAGCCCTGCCAAGCAGTTTCACAAATCCCGCAGCTGACACACCCTTCCCAGTGGCGCAGCGACATTCACCTCAACACGTCGCAACCTCACGATTCCTGCGCCCGCCACGAAAAGTGAAGGCATGACATCAGAGGCAAACGGAAGGGTAGTGCACAGAAAGGGTTTTGCAAAAACCTATTCTACTAACATCGTGGAAGGCGCGGGACATTCGTAGAACCCAAGGCTATTCGTGGACAGTTCGTGGAATGGTGGGCCAGTAGCAGAACTGACTGCAACGAAATCCCAGAAACCTTCGCAGAGCTTCGTGGAAGGTATTTTTGATGCACCAACTTCGTACAAGCGATTTTTGCTGACCCCCTTTCTCCACACACCCTCCATTTAGCCTTCATGACATCTTCATGTCTTCAGCAAAATTTGCACCACACCACACTTTTATATAGAGCGATTTCGACACTTTCTGAGCACACTCACATCCACCAAAATCAAAATTTTATCTGAGACCTGGGTTTCGAGGCAACAGCCTCCTAAACCGCAAATCCCACGGTCACAGCGAAGGAAACTGAGGATCTTTCAAAAGGCTGCATTTGCGCAGCGAAATCAACCTCCATACGTCAACATGTTACATGTCCATGCAATTTCACAAAGCTGCCACTTCGGCCTTCCAACCAAAACCCCTCCTAAAGCTTCCCCCACTGTCACGGCCTTATCGATCACATTCAAACACGCGTGAACCGCTGTGGACGGTTCCGGACAGTTGGGACATGAAAGAACATCGCTCTACCGTCCGACTCACAAAGGTGAACGAGAACTCTTCGCTATGCATTCGGGAAATGGGGCCTGGCCGCCAAGCCAGGCAAAAAAACACGTAGCACAGAACCGCATGGTTGTTTTTGGGGCTGAAGTTTGCTCTTAGGTTTCAAGCCGAATCACTCAAACGTTGTTGGTGCCAACCTCTTGCTTGGCAGCTTGGCCAGCAGCTAGCAGACATTCGTGGACAATAAATGGCCTGGAACATGGAAGTCAACTGGTTAAAATGAACTCTTCTGGGCTGCAAGGTTTACATGGCCTCCTCGTCATGGGCTGCTTGACAACCCAAAAGTGATCCAAGTTTGCCCGGGGCAGAACAGCACAGTTGGGCATTGTGAATGCTGACCTGTTGAAAGTGTTCCCCACCAGTGAGGTGATTATAGCAAACCAGAAGCTCATCAAAGAGGTAAGAAGCGAGAAGACGGTCGTTTTGGTCAGTTGTACTGCCTTGGCGTGCACTTTTAAAGGCATAGTAAAACCGTTATCGTTTATGGCACAGGAAATGCATTTCGAGATGCGGTTTGATTGTTTATTTGCAATTAGAATGTGTTTGGATGTGTTTGGTACATACATGCTTTGTTGCTTGACGACCGAGTTGATTCCCTGAAGGCTGGGTTTCCATTTCCGATCCTTCTCTCTGCGCTCGGTGCCCGCAATTCCTGCAGGATGCAATGGTCCCTGCTTGCGGCAACAGACGAACTCAGGACCACTTGATTTGTTGTGCTTGCATGAGGTCCGGCAGACATTCTGGCACAAACAGAGAGAAAAACAAGATTTAGCCCAAGCATTCGCAGTCAAACATCCCTGTTTGTTCACGTTTGATTCGATATTAGATTGTCCGTGCGTGAACATTGAAAACAACATCAAAACTCTTCCCTCCACGCGCAGCGCCATGTCTGCTGCACCAACCCCATCATTGCAGAAGGATGCAAACGATGCGCCCAAAGGGGTTCCACAAGATGTGCCTGCCACGGAAAGTTGGGGAGACTGTGTGGTGTATGGATCACATTTGCATGGTTCTTCAAGAGGGCTTCAAGGGCCTCAGGGCCTAATCACAAGGTGGCGGCCCATATACTTTGGCATGCATTTGTGCAAATATGTTGGTTGTGCTGCACAACATGCTCGGCACTTGACTTGAGGTATGCTGAAGTCCCTGTGAACCACTCCTTAAGTGAAATATTCCGGTGACACCCTTGTTGACTTTCCTCAGCAAACGCGATTAAACACGGGAGATGCATCCGCAGACCAACTTGTTCGCATTTGTTCGGCAAGCTTGGTAGTCAGTATCGCTCAAGCTGCACGGAGTAGAATCACTCTGACCATGCCCGCAATGAAAGTGTATATCTACACATATTGTATCATATTGTTATATAATATATGTTTCCTTTAAATATACATACATAATCATACATATATATATATTATATAATAACATTGCAGGACCATGCATAGGTGGCGCGAATGCGAGGGCGGTCCTAAACACAAACTCACGCCACCAAACTGTTTATACACCCTACAGATCCCTACCGGAAAAAGGGACCCCCGTGCAAGATCCAAACCCCCTTGCCACTTGGATATCTCAAAATGAACGTGCTCACTCAGGACTCAGGACATTAATCTGTCAATTCGTCCAGAACTTGGCTCTATGTCGTTCCAATGTTTAATCAGAATACAAGCCTGAAGGCGTTGTATAAGAAGATGGAAGTGTCCGGAGGTCCTGGTCTGAGGGATGGTCTTTGGATAGAGTGTCGTAAATAGATATATATATATATAAATAGTAGATAAATATATAACATTGTAGCTGAAAGGGCAACTTGCAAGTCTGATGGTGTGTGTGTGTGTGCTTGAAAAGGTTTCCACGCACAGATTGCTACAGTAGTAATTAGGTGACAAGGTACTAGATTCTTTTGTCGCAAGCATTTTTTCACATATTTTCACAACTTGCTTAGACCCTCAACATCGTGCTCACAGCGATTTTGCTGATGCTGGTCATTACAGGATGTTGCTGGTGGCTTGCATTTTTGCCTGAAGACAGCTACAGCTGCCCCATCGGCATGTGCCTTCCCTGCAGAACGCGGGCACTGCGTGTTGGACTCTGTCGCCGCCACATCAGGCACAGCCAAAAATGCTCCACCGTTGCTGGCGTTTGATTGGGGACTCAGAATGCCTCACCAAAATTCCCATGTTTTAACGGGTGTCCAGTGGCCAACTATGAGCTTCAGTTGCTAGCATGTGGACTTGGTTGCCATAGGCTTAGGTCATTCATGGTCATTCTATAGTCAACCCTCATGGTTAAGTTATGTTCATGTGGTCATCACCTTGGCCCACGGTAAGTGCTGCTTTGGCTGAGGTCTGATGCTCCAGTAAGATTCTACAATCTTACCATGGCTGTGGGGATGCTTCGCTGAAGTTGAGGGTGAGAGCGATATACGGCATGTAGGAGACTATGGCAGTGTCAGAAGCTGCCTTTGTGGTAAACGAACAGAGTGGATATGTGATAAATGGATGTGAGATATGGGTCCATATCGCCAATGTAGGACAACAGCCTTCACTCGACTCGATGATCTCGACCGCAAGGGCGTCCAGCCTGATGATATGGCATTACCTGGATCCAGATGCCTTGAAAGTGCGTTACACCGTCTTGGGTCGCCCTGAATTCCCTGTGTTGCACCGAGAGTTTCTGGGTGTACAGTGCCTCGCTTGCAAGTATGGCACATTGCGACAAAGAATGTGAAATGATGCAAGAGGCGCAATGAACAAAAATAGCTTTGCTGGACATGATGCGCATGGTTGCCTCATTTGGTTGTGAACTACGAAATCTCTCAGGCGATGGTCCACCTTCACTTCCTGGAGCAATTTAAGTTGCACCATGTTTCTTTGCTCTGCTGCCATATTGGGATTCTGTGGGCCCGAGCCGCCAAAGGCTTTGTGTATGGTGCCCTGTGCTGAAAGAGTTTGTGCTATGTCTTTGTGGTCAAGATGTCTACTGTATCATGTTGCAAAGTCAGACTCAAGCACGCACAAGTCAAGCTTGACGGATCTAGAAAATCTGGCCCGAGAGTGAACCTTCTTTGTGTTCCAAGGTGAATCAAGTTTTTTGGGAGCTGACCTTCCCCTTGGCCTTTTTTGTGACTCTCGGCTCAACATCACTGAACTGTTTCAATTTATATATATAAATAATGTAAATGCACTGCCTACTGAATCTGAGTCTCCAAGGAACATTGTTGTGAGCTTTGTCTTGATTCCACAAATCAAGAAGATGCGCGTGAACCTCAAATGCAAAACTGCCACAACACAAATCGCTGTGGGGCCATGTAGGGGTGTACAGGCACACGAATGTGCTGAACGATGCATAAGATGAGCGGCACGGGTCACAAGTAGTGTGGCCAGGTGACTGGCAGAAGCTGAAGCGAATGCTGCGGCTGAAGCCACAGGCTTGGTTGCATTTGTTATCATTTGTTGGTATATGCTGCAGCAGGTTGAGTTTCACGAAGAGTAAGGGTGATGATTATGATGGATTTAGGTTCAGGCTCGGGTGCCAAGATTCGCAGATCACTTCTGCCTGCCATCCCTGACAGCTCCTCCATAACGGCTTGGCAATTGCTGGTGCTGTGGAAGCTATGTCCCTTAGTGGCCTTAATCAGTGGTCAGCTGTGGCAGAGGCAGCCGCCGTAGAGTGAGGACATGATGGCAAGATTCAATCTGTCATTGTTTCTCCAGCCTTCAAGTCAAATTGCATCTGTGTATATTCAATATAGTCATCACATATGCCGCAATGCCATTGCTTCATAACCTCGCGTTGTGTGATCTTTTGTTCTGTTTTGGCAACAGACCGAATTGTTTTAGGTTAGCGACGCCTCCTATGAAGCTGTCGCACTTCCCAGTGTTGGCCGGCTGCCTGAAGTTCTACTGAAAAACTGAAAGGGCATAGTCTCAGATATCGAGCAAGATCAAGCATGAAGGTACACAGTACACAGGCTCAGGAACTGCTGTATAATTAGGGTCGTGCTTTACAGGTGATTAGTCAGGCGTGATGCTCAGGTCCTTTTTGGAAGTATGTACATCGTTTTTGCCTGGCAACCTGTCCTCTGGAGCGAAGGCAGTGGCGTTGCAACAGCAAAGGAGTCACAATCACAAATGGCTAGGCAGATCACTGTAATTATATAGTTGGGGGTTTCTTGGTTGCTTGTTTTGAACGGTTGTGAATGTGGACCAGTGCCTGTCAAGCTTGGGCTCAAGCGCCAGCCGCTAGTGGAGCGGTTGCGCAGATCAGACGGAGAGGTGCGCTGCGCGTATTGACCAAAAAGCACAGTGAGTCTACATGTTTCTCCCCCAACTGCCAGGTGAGGGTTGTTAGATTTTGTCAGAGCTGTCCTCGCCTCCTCCTCCTCCTTTTCCTCCTCCTCCTCCGCAAGTAATTACCAGATCGCAGAGGGCACCGCCAGACCTCACCGCGAGCGCTAGCCGCTATACAGTGGGCACTGGCCTGAACCAGAAGAAAGAATACTAAAAACACATCAGCAATTATGCCCGAGTATATGCCAGATTTACTGCCAGAAAGAATGTCAGAAAACATTTCAGAAAGAGTGTCAGTAAATATGCCACATAGAACGCCAGAATTCGACAAATAGAATGCCAGCACATGTGCCAGAATGTGTGCTAAATAGAAGCTAGAAAATATGCGGGATAGAATGCCAGAATACATGCCCGACTTTACGCCAGACGAATGCCAGAGTACAGTATTCCACATAAACTGCCAAAATGTTTTCCAGATAGAATGCCTGATTTATGCCAGCTTTCTTGGCGATGTTGTAGCAATATAGCAGTCGGTTATCAGGAGGGTATCATGCCACGGTGGGGGTCACTCGAGGTATAGTACTTAGTAATGCGTTTGTCGGCTCCAGCTTTGGTGTAAGGGTTGCCTTTGGATTCCACGACGCCATTTAAGGCCATGGAGGCCCTCAGCCAGAAGCGGTTCTTTGGCCTCGCCTTCAGGGCAGCACGGCCGTTGGTGCCCCGCCGTGGCTCAGGCAATGGGGATCAGTGAGGTCACTCTGAATCACTTATGTTTAATCAACTGCATTTCCCTCTTGAAGTCCTTTGAAAATGTGGTTGATGTTTTATGTTTTTGTCTTTTTTGCTTTTGATGTCATCAACTGACGAATTTGTTCATTTGTTTTATGTTTTTTCTGATTGATTACTGGGTCACTGACTCTTCCAACAGCCATTCCAATTGCAACAAAAAGTATGTTGGATTGCTTGGGAAATCACAAAGCAAACAAGTTCCAAAAGAATGGCGTGTGATTGTGAATTATGAGCCTTTGGGATTTTTGTGAGCATCACAGGCGGCGAGCTCCTTGCTGATGTGCAGCCTAGCCGGCTGTCGTTGCCTGAGCTAGCTGAAGGGCCGTACTTTATCATAGCGACGCTTGGAAGGCACAGAGAAACTGTCCTAATTTGCGAGAAACTTGCAGACACCTTGTCACCTCATCAGAGAAGCCACTTGTGTTCTCAGGATGATGCTGGATGCAAACACTCTGCCACTTGTTTGTTGATGTTGATGTGATGTTTTTCTTGCTTTGTGTATTTTTTCTTGCTAAGATTTGCTAAGCTTTGCCGCTGAGTCGAGTTTGTCCTGTTAGGTGC